AGATACACAAGCACAAAGTGTGATATGCATGCTGCACTTGGCTTGGCTTGGAAAACAGGAAGAAAGCCACAGCTTTATTCTCTACCTTATTCAATACAATAGAGTATACCATAGATAACAGAATTTATAAACGCTGCCATCTAGTGACCAAAAATGTATACTGCAGGAGTTGATGGAATAGACACAATGGGGTCTTCTCACTAAGCTGCCGTAGGCAGCGGAGTGAATGACCGACCTAAAGCGAAGTGAGCCGAACGCTGTTCGGCTATTCACTTCAGGCTGGTATGGCTGATTTCAGCCATATATCGTCTGAAATCAGCTCAGCATGTTCGCCCGACCCGAAGTGCAGAAGGAGTTCGACTCAGCCGATCCAACATCTGGATCGGCTAAGCCGAACCTCCGGCAGGCTACTCGCTGCTGTTCGGCCTATTCTTTTAGATGCCGAACAGCAGTGAGTGAATAGCCGAATGCCGCTGAGTGGCATTCGGCTCAGCTGTTCTACTCGGTCCCTCCGAGCAGAACAGAAAAATAAATAAAAAAGTAGAAAAAAATAAATAGATAATGATTGTGCGGAGCGAGCAGTGACAGCTAGCTTCGCCCAACTGTTTTCTATTGGCCATTGCAAATTGAAATAACCAATAGGAATCTAGCAATGCATTCCTATGGTGTCAGAATAAAAAACAAAAAAAGAAAAAGCAGTGTTTCTCTCCTTGCAGGAGACTCCCAGAGCACCCGAGAGAGTTAGGCTGTCTGGAGATCAGGGCCCCTGGTTAGCTGGTAACCAGGGGCGCTGATCTCTCTGCAAGTGGCCGGAGCCAGTAAGATCACGGCTGGCTCCGCATCGGCTGGATCAACGTCCTGGGGGAAATGGTGATATCACACCCTGGTCCTGTGCTCAGGCCTAGTTATTGGCTCTTAGGCCTAAACAACTTCTCAGGTTTGCAGGTCACGTACTCCCCCATACCAATACATACAGGTGAAACTCGAATAATTAGAATATCGTGCAAAGAGCCGGCAGGCGTCAATTAGATGGCCGTTCATGCGCGATGACGTCACGTGCATGCGTGATGACATCACAGCGTGGTGTCACCTGGTCTACGCTCTGGGTGACACCAGGCCTCGGGATGCCCCTGCATCAAACAAAAAGTTTTTTATTGCTTAGTTTGTTTTTTTTAGAAAGCAGCCACAGCATGAGTAGAACAGCCTACAGAGAAGGACCCTTGCTCTCTGTGTGGGAGCAGTGGTCTCTCTGTCGAGGCTTGACACTCCCCCGTATGAGACAGATGTATAGTTCTGCAATCAGCAAAGCTATTCTGTTGATTGGAGAGCTCTAGATCAGACTTAGCAGAGAGACCACTGATTGACACAGACAGGAAATGTTCTTCTCTGCAGCATACTGGCAGGAGACCGACTTTTCTACTTACGCTGTGGCTGCTTTCTAAAGGAAACCATCTGTATGACTTTGCAGACCTTATGTTTAATGCACCTGGAATGTATTTTGCTGATTTAAACTGAAAGTTAAATTGGGCTTTAAAGTTTTTAACAGCCACTATTGGGTAGCAGCTGGAGTCGTCATTGAGTACAATTATTACAAACCTGTAATAAGCGATAGCAGGCAGCTCATATTCTGTTATAAATGAATACGCAGCGACTTCCAGGTCTCCTCTCCTGCGGGGTCCACACAGAGCCCCCAGCTCATTTCCTGCGCAATATTGTCTAAGCGATGCTCTGGGAAGTGAACCCACGGCACACACAGGCAGATTAATCACTCAGACTCTCCTCGGCTCATACCAGGCATTGTCACTTGACACTGTCATGCCACGAGGTTAATCCATCAGCCAGTCACTCCTCAGACACTTTGATAAAGCAGCCCATAAAATAACATACCATGAAATTATATTCTCTCACATGAGACGGAAACATGAACACTGACGGAGGAGGTGAGAGTCGTCTCCTACATTTGCCTATTTAATTAAAACGGCCCGGAATTGCGTTATCTGCGAAGATGGACTAAAATGCATCAGCGGTAACCTAGAGTTGTACTCATAGGGGAGCCTGCGTTACTGGGAGGGTTTAAAATGAAGGTTTGTCTTTGTGTCGCGGAAAAAATAAACAGGAAGCAGAGATGCATCATATCATCTGCATGAATGCATTGCTGATGAATCATTATATACAGCACAAGTATCATTTTTCACAAATCTCCACCATTATTCATTTCAAAGCCATCCTTGGGCTTCAGTCCACTGACTTTGCTGACTTTGCTTCAGGGCCTATAGATCAGTTTGTGTGTTAATAGCTGGATGGGGGCTATAATGGAGAGTGTTCGTGTAACCTGACCACAGTTAGGGCAACCAACTGAAAATGTTTATTTTGCTCTTTACACTAAAACTTCTTTGCTTTAAAAGCTGTAAACTCCAGTGAAAGGAGGGCACACCCCGGTCAAAATAAAACCTTGAAACACTTAGGCCTGGTTCACACCTGTACGTTTTGTAGCGCGTTCAACGCTCTACGAACGCTCTACAAAGCGCTCAAACATGAGAATACCATTGTTTTCTATGGGTATGGTTCACACCTTGCCGTATTTCAGCCCGTCTGAACGCGCTACAAAACGGCCTACGCCTGAAAAGGTACATGAGCTTCTTTGCAGCGTTTTTCCATTGGGATACAGCCAAGTAGCCCTCAGAAACGCGCGTTTGTTTTACCGTGAATCGCGGTAAAATTGCGTGTCACCAAACGCGCGACAAACGTGCATATTCGATACGCCTAGGTGTGAACAGAGCCAAACAGGGAGAATAGTGTAATGCACCAGTCCACCCTGTTCCCTCCTGTTGGTGACCTGTTGATCTAGAAACCCCCAGATTCCACCTGATTGTAATGAAGAAGACCTATTCATAAACATGCTGTCCTAAAGTTCCTTAACATGGTTCCTGATACTATGCTGTCCCAGTGTAGACAGGAAAGAAAGGAGCACCTTATGTGGACTGTTGGGAAAGACGTGTGGGTCAGTTTCAACTATTAGAAGGACACTTGGGAAAACCAAAAAATGATTCCAGTATTTTCCTGTAAGGGAGGTGGCGTGACGGAGGATGCAGGCGGGAGATGTGCACAGAGTCATCAGGTGCATTGGAGCAGAAGGTGAACATGCACAGCCAGCAGTTCCCTCCACTGCTCTCCTTAATAAAGGAAGCAGAACAGTTTACAGTAAAAACACTGTGTCTGGACAAGATTCATATGCAGCAGAATCCATTCTGTGCCACATAATTACATTCCACTTAGGTATACCTAGCTATGTGCTGCTGAGAGACACTGGGGGAAATAGAGAGAGAGAGACAGTGAGGGAGAGACATGGAAGCATGGAGGAAGGGAAGGAGAGAAGCAAGAAGTTAGGAGAGGAGGGTAGGGGAGGGAAAGAGGAAGGGAGACAGAGGGAGGGTGGAGGGGAAGGAGAGAGGAAATAAGGGAGAAGAAGAGAAGGGTGGGGAGGGGAAGGAGGGAGAGAGAAAGATGGAGGGAAGGAGAGAGGCAAGAATGGAGAAGGAGAGAAGGGTGAGGAAGGGAAGGAGGCAGGGAGACAGAGGGAGGAAGGAGGGGGAGGAGAGAGCAAAGAAGGAAGGAGAGAAGGGTGAGGAAGGGAAGGAGGGAGAGAGAAAGAGGGGGAAGAAGGGAATGAGAGAGGTAAGAATTGAGGGAAGGAGATAGAGGGAGGGAGATAGAGGGAGGGAGGAAGGAGAGAGGAGAGAAGGGTGGGTAAAGGAAGGAGGGAGGGAGAAAGGAGGGGAAGGAGAGAGGAGAGAAAGGTGGGGAAGGAGGGAGGGAGATAGTGGGAGGAAGGAGAGAGGAAAGGAGAGATGGGTGGGGAAGAGAGGGAGGGAGGGAGCTAGTGGGAGGAAGGAAGGGAAGGAGAGAGGAAAGAAGGGAGAAGGAGAGAAGGTTGGAAAAAGGAAGATAAAGGAAGGGAAGGAGAGAGGAATTAAGGGAGAAGGAGAGAAGGGTGGTGAAAAGAAGCAGGGAGGGACATATAGGAAGGGAGGAAAGGGAAGGAGAGAACAAAGGGAGATAGGGAGAGAGATAGAGGGTTGGATGGGTCGAATACCTTTTCCCCACTGCACACAATGATTCCTCCTGTCAGCCTGTACTCCTTGTACAGCCAGTTGGAGAAACCACATCATGCGGTAGGGGAGCAGCTTGCAATGTATGGGGCCACGCTGCAACCTGAGATTTGAGCACTGCCTTTGCTGACTTGTCTTTAGAGGCACAAGCTCTGAGACCTCCATCCCAATCCTGGATAACTAACATGGCAGTGACTCAATATGTAGTGAAACCAGGATGACAGCTCCTGAGCTTACAACTCTAAAATCTAGTCAGCAATGGAGGCTTCCATACTTTGCGTCGAAATGGCCACTTGTAGTCTTCAGTAGAAGCCCTTGTGACAGGGTGACAGTGCAGAAGCACAGTGGAGAGACATGGACAGAGTGTTGGCTCCCTATAACTGGAAGAGCCTGAACAAGGACCTGCATGGCGGGGTCATCAGTGAATGATTAGTTAAGGAGTTTTTACCTGCAATTAAAAAATGTGGAAAATTAAAAATGTGCTTTTTTTATTGCAGAAGACACATACTACGTCTCTTCAGCAATAAAGGATTCTCAGCTGCCTATTTGTATTTTTTAATGAACTGGGATAAATGAACTGCCCCCCCCCCCCCCCCCCCCCACCCACCACACACACACTGCAAGGGTAAGTGTTCATTTTGTCTAGGGGAGCAGATATAGTCACTTGATCCTCAGTCCCGCTGGGCTACAAGACCAGTGCCCGCACCCTCTTCTCCCCTAGGCTCCAGCAGTCTAAAGACTTGTGAGGTCATCAAGTCTTACGTAGGTCCATTGACTTGCATTAGACGTAGGGGCTCCGAAGAGGAGATAGGTGAGCGCTGACCATCACAGGGCCAAGGATAGTGAGTATACCTTTTTTATCGGAGCCCCCTAGTCAAAATGAGCACTTACCCCTTGCAGTGAAGCGGTAGCCACATTGCAAGGGTACGTTGTTTAAACTTCCGGAGTTCTTCTTTAGGACCATGGACAGCCACAGTCCTGCAGCCCTTCCCCTGAATGGGTTAGGCACGTTGCAAGGACAATGTAGGACTGAGAGAAGACTCCTGCAGCTGCAGACAGCACCGCTGTGTGCTGAGAGATGGAGGGGTGGGGTGCCGTCTGGCATGTCAGTGATTGGCAGGAGGTGCAGGAAGAGAATGGTGAGATGGGAAGGTGACAGCGGGAGATAGCGCGCTGCATTCCCCCTGCGCTTTGTGATTGCACATGTTCCGGATGTAGCTGCAGGTTGTTTTAGGGGGGGCGCAATTGTGGACTCTCTGGCATGCGAGAGATCTAGGAGGAGAGGGGTGGGCGGGGAGGGAGTTAAGGGGACTGTCACTAGGGAGAAAAGAGACAGAAAAATCATAATTGCAGCCAAGCTATGAGTGGTAATGGGAAAATGTGCGGAGACAAGCGGCAAATGAAATTTACTGATAGGGGCGAGAGAATGAAGGGAGAGAACCAGGGGAAGAAAGTGCCTGGGAACAAAGGAGGCTCTTCCCAGACTGTCAGCCACACTGACAGCCACCTAAACAGAGAGACAGCTGTACAGACACATGCGCCATGAGTGACAGTGCTCGCAAAGCACCCTGATTAGGCAAGCACACTGCGAGGGAGAAGCGGTCCACTCCCAGCACAGGCTCACAAAACGTGAACGACAGCATGCTAAAATGCAGCTGCTTAGCTCGTTGACCTCGGAGCGTTGACATCTCATTTTGGTCGCCAGGAATTCTCTGCACCATGCATATCATCATGCATTCTTTTTTTTTTGCAGGATTTTATTAAAGGGGACAGTTCAGTAACTTTTTCAAATCTGCATAAATAAATTACTACAAAGTCACAAAAGACAGCGACGGTATCATTTTTCAGAAAAGCTCCTTTTATCATTAAAAAGTAGCCCTATGACTTTGCCTAGACTGAGATGATGTCATCAGTCTGCTGCAGGCAGGAGGAAGCATTTGCTCAGTCTCATTTCTCCAAGTGATCAGACTAAAACCTTGTGGAGAATCGCATAGTGAAAGGCTGCAGCAGGAGCTGATCTGTGTCAGACATTTGGAAGAACAGCCAAGAACTGCACAAACACCAAGATTTAAGTGATTGTATCATGTCTGAGCCAGTATCTTAGCCCAGCAAGTAGATGCTGACCCTGGATGATGGTGACATCCTTCTGGAGTGTAATGTTGCAGTCAGTTAAGTGGCGTCAC